TGCCCACCTGTTGCACAGAACTTGCGGGGATCCTGTTCCGGGCTCGCCCCATCCATCATGCGGGTGAAGGTAATCGGGCAGGGAGGAACCTAGAGGGACGGTCACCTGCACTTTGGACCAATGGTCTAGAAGAGTTGGGCTGATGCCTAAGGAGCCGTGATGCAGGAGGGAAGCATCCATCCCTGCCCCCAGCCGTGTGTGTGGTGGGGGGGGGGGGGCCCATCTGAGACCAGGCAGGGGTGAACAGGCCAAGGTGCCCCTCAGTGGATTCAGGTGGTTCCAGAGGGCTGCTCAGGTCTGCCCCTCTTGGGATGTTGTAGCTGAAGCCCCAGCGTGGGTCAGAGGGACAGGTGTCCACAGTTTGCGGGCTGCCCGGCCATGGACCCTGCACTTATTCAATCAGGCTGCCCTCTGCGGTTTCCTGCCGGCTCTGCTCCCTGCCCACAGCCAGGCGTGAGGCCAGGGGACAGCCCCAGAGCCCCACCTTGAAGGTCCTGGGTGGACAGAGCGGGGAACTGTTCAGGAAAAATGGGGGTGTGTGGTGAGGCCCCAGGTCACCCCCACAAATCCCCTTTGCTGGCCCACAGACAGGCCTCAGTATCACTCAGTGGACACTGAGTCATCTAAACACGCTTAGGGTAGGACACCGTTATCCATCTGTGGGCCGGTTAAGCTTCTGTGTCAGAGGCCCGAGATGGCACAAACCTCCCTGGTCACTGGGCTTCCCTCCCAGTAGCATCTACCCAGCTCCCGACCCCCCCCCCCCCCCAGCCTGGAAGCATTTACGCAACATTTGCTGCAGGCTGGCCCGGGCTGTCGTGTCCCCCCCACGCACCTTCCCCTGAGGCCGCTGCTGCTGAAGAACTGGAGGGGGTGCAGGGCCCAGTGTTTGGGTGCACTCACTACGGAGTGGAGCCCGGAGATCAGAGAAGGCTTCCTCGGGTAGGGGAAACCCCGCGGGTTCAGAAAGATGTGTAGGAGCTTGCAGATAGGAGAGGGACTGGAGGGATTAGCACAGTCGGGAGGGCTCTTGCCCTGCAATGCAGCCTACTGGGGTTCAATCCCAGCATCCTGCACAGTCCCCCAAGCACCACCCCACCCGGAGTACTTCTGGCACCGCCAGGTGTGGCCCACAAAAGGAGAGAAGAGACGTTGAGGACAAGCTCAGGAGCTGCAGGAAACAGGTGCCTTTCTGCCGGCAGGGCTGCTGCGGCCAGTGTCAGAGAAGGCTTGTCTCTGCCCTGCAGAGAAGACCAATCTAGGGCACACGAGGGACCAGGGTCCAGGCGCTGAGCCCCACTCCTCATGCTACACAGCCAAGGGGAGTTGGGGCCCGAGTCCATCCTGCCAGCCCACGGAAAACAAACCCTGTTCCTGTCCCAGCCGCTCTGGGTAGCAGAGAGGTGGCTAGTTCGGGAGAGGGCGGTCGGGGAGCGGCCACACCGCGGCAGGATGGGCCAGGGAGATGCAAGCGTGTCCTGGAGGTGTCAGGGTTCTGAGTCCGAGGAAAAGCGGGGAGCAGCTGAGCTGGAACCCAGTCTGGGCTAGGAGGGGAGACAGCTCCTTGGGGCCTGTGTGGCTGAGCCTGGGAACACCCCCCCCCCCATCACACACCTGCAAACTCCCTGGGAAAGGCCTGAGTGAAAGTGGTGGATACCAGGGCCCTAGACCTGTGCACACCCCCGAGGCTGTGCAGGCAGGGGGGAGGCGGGGAGGGGGCAGTGCTCAGTGGATGGAGTCTGACTGCCCTTGAGGCTCTGGGTGTACAGGATTTCTGGAGCGCTCACCGGGCCTAGGGGTCCCCCGGAAAACCAGCCTTGGACCCCCACTCCACTCAGAGGACAGGCAGGCGGGCTGCTGAGGCTTCCGCGACGGGCTGGGCCAGGCTGCAGGAAACGGGGGCTGCTCCTGGAACTGCCCTGCACCCCCCACCCCCGCCTTCACCTCCCCCCTGTTTTCAGCAGGGGCACCTGGGAGCCATTAGGGCTCTGGGTGGTGCCTGCCCAGCTCCTGCAGCAAACAGGGAATTCCTGGAAGGAGCCGCCCGCTCCACGCCACCACGCCTGGCAGTGCCCACGCGGGGGCTCCCTCTCCGCCTATCCAGCTCAGGGGCTGCCTGGGTGGGATCCCCTCACCACCCCCACTCACAGCTCGGCCTGCCGGGGCGTCCGGCTGGCAGCGGATTTCCTGCCTGCCTCCTCCGCAGAGCAGACGCTCACATTGTTTTTCTTTTCCAAGAGCATCACATGGGGACGCCTGGCGGGGAAAGTCTGGAGAGGAGGAATGGGAGTGTGGGAGTGTGTGTATGTGCCTGGACGTGCTCATTGTGTGCATGTGTGCGTGTGTTTGCGTGTATGCGAGTGTATGTGACTCTGGATGTGTGGTGTGTATGTCAGTGTGTACCAGTGTGTGTGTGTGCATGTGTGCAAGTGTTGATGTGAGTGAGTACATGTGAGTGTGTCCGTGCATGTGAGTGACTGGATGTGTGAGTGTATGTCATTGTGCACCTTTATGCGTATGTGTAGATGTGCGTGAGTATTGATGTGTGTGAGTACATGGGAGTGTGCGTGTGTGTGCACGTGAGTGTGTACATGTGTGTGTGTACGCCTGTGTGGAGCGTTTGTCACTGCCTGTGCTTGCAGTGATCACTCTACCTTCTATTTCTTTTGCGTCACCCAGAGAGCAGTTCTAGGCCTGGTTCCGTCACCACACTCATGAGCCCGCAGCTTCTCCTGCGCCTGTTTCCCTCCTGTCAGAAGGGGATCGGGGTGAGGGGAAAGCCAATACCAACCCAAGGGTCTTAGGCTCACCCGGACGCTTGTTTAAAACAATTCTTGGGGAGCAGCAAAGGAACACAGGCACAAAGCCCCTCCCCGACAGAGCTGTGGCCAATCAGCTTCCTTTTCTCTGTGTCCCACTGACTGCTGAGGGACCCCTGACAGGTAGCCTGCCTTGTGGGACAGGGGACAGGAGTCTCCTCTGAGTGTGCTCAGGAGCCCGTGGCCACCTGGGCCGGAGAATCAGTGAGAGGCAAGGAGGCGGTGCTGGCAATTCCGTGGGCCAGCTCTGTAGTGCTTGGGGCCTTCCAGGACTCACTTCACAGTGCTCAGGGGACCAGGCAGGGCCAGGGAGAGAACCAAGCAAGGTCTGTGCCTTAGCCCCCACAGTGAGGCCCTTCCTGGGCCGGTGAAGAGACTGCTTGGTCCCAGTGGGCTCACAGCTGTGGACCAGCAGCAACCACGCACCCCTACTCAGACTCAAAGCACCCAGGCAGATGGCGCGTGCTCAAAGGCACACCATGGAGAGATGCAGAGATGGTCTCAGACACGTGTGCCAGATGGGCACACACAGACTCAGCCCCACCTCTGCACAAGCAGGCAGGTGTGCACACACGCACACAGGCTTGCGAACTCACATGCACACGCCCACATACATACACACTGCCCCCTGATGGTGCAAGACAGACACTGGCCGTGCCTGCAGGGGGAGGGGAGCCCTGGGGCAGGGGGACGGCTGAGGGATGCTGGCATGGGCATGTTGACCCCGAGGCTGGCACATCACGTGTGAACTGAGCCCAGAGGGGGCCTGCTGGGTGGCGCAGGCAGAGCTCAGGGTCAGGTCAAGGACCTGGTGGGGATTGGGCTAAAGGACGTGCAGCTGGAGCCCCCTAGAGGAGAGTGTGGCAGTGACACCCGAGAGGAGTCATCACCACTGGCAGTGGCTGGGGGTGGCCGCTGGTGTGACCAGCACTATATATTTGTACACTCACTGTGGTTGCTTTTTTTTTTTTGCATGGGGACACCCAGTGGTTTGTGCTCAGGGACCACTCCTGGTAGTACCATCTCTCCGGCCCTACCCACCGTACCATCTCCAGCCCCCTACCTGCTGTGCCATCTCTCCGACTCCTGGCTGCTGCTTTGTTTTGGTTTGGGGTCACACCCCAGCGATGCTCAGGGCTTACTCCAGCTCTCCCCTCAGGGATTGCTCCTGGCTCAGGAGATCATACAGGTGCTGACTGGGGTTACCCATTGTACTATCACGCTGGTCCCTCCTTGGCTGCTGCTTTTGGCCCTCGGCACCAGGAATCCCACATGTGTTCCAGCCCTGTTGCCGTCTCCCGGCCCTGGAGAATAGGTTCGGTGTCTTTGCCGCTGCTGCAGGCATTCCCGCCCTGTGTGCCACTGTGAGTGTGTGGTTCTCTGACCCCTCCCAGTGTTTGCATTTGGACTCCTGACACCACATCCGGTCACGTCCAGGCTTCACCTGCTGAACCCTGTGGTCCTGGGTGCCTAGCGTCAGTCCCCTTATGTCTGCCGGGACAACGGGAGGTCCTGAGCCTGGTGGCCGGCTGAGGGCAGCCCTCCTCACATGGCAGCCCTCCTCACATGGCGTCACTGCCATGTGGCCGTTAGTGCTGGGACTTAAACAGTGTCTGGGAGCCAGCCCCAGCCTTCTGCAAATGCCTAGTCTGACGTGTGGGATGGGGTGAGAACAGAATCACAGACAAGTAAAGGGTACCGCAAATTCGGCCTGTGCGGTGATGAAGAAACCAATCACCAACCGCCTGCGGTCCAAGAGGACTTCTAGGAGGCAGTGATGTCTCAGATACCCAAGGCTGACAAGAGCTAGCCCCATGCAGGAAGAGGCAGGGCCAGAAGCAGCATGGAGCAGTCAAGACTGTGAGCTGAGCCAGAACGCGGGGACAGCTGCCGCGCTGCAGGGGGATTCGAAGGGGAGTCTGAGAGCCTGCAAACGGAGAAGCGGTGGCAGCCCCCTGCCCACCACTCCAGCTGTTCGCCCCTCGGGCCACCCCATGGGTTGGTGGGGTGTCCAAACAGTGGCCACAGCCTAGTAACTCGGTTCTCCCACAGGTCCGAGGAGGCACCCACGCGGAGAGAGGCGACCATCATGCGCCATAGGATCGCGCCCGCCACGCGCCCCCCGCACCGCGCCTGAGCCGGGCGGCGAGTCCTCCAAGCCCAGCCCCTCAGCCCGCGCGCGCGGCCGCACCATGAGCCACGGGCCGAGCCCGCGCCTGGCCGAGTCCCCGCAGCTGTCCAAGGGCAGCCTGCTCACCATCCTGGGCAGCCCGGTGCCGCCGGAGCGCAGCGGGGACTCGCTGCCGCCCACGCCGCCCAGCGGCACGCCCTCGCCGGGGCCGCTGCCGCCGCCGCCGCTGCCCCTGCCCCTGCCCCCGGCGCCCCCGCTGCTGGCCGACGGCGACTGGGAGAGCCGCGAGGAGCTGCGGCTGCGGGAGCTGGAGGAGGCGCGCGCGCGCGCGGCGCAGATGGAGAAGACGATGCGCTGGTGGTCGGACTGTACGGCCAACTGGCGGGAGAAGTGGAGCAAGGTGCGCGCCGAGCGGAACCGCGCGCGCGAGGAGGTGCGCCAGCTGCGCCAGCGCCTGGACGCGCTCACCAAGGAGCTGGCGGGCGCGCGGCGCGAGCGCCAGGAGGCGCAGGGAGAGTGCGAGGCGCGGGGCCGCGAGCTGGCGCGGCTGCGGGGCGCCAGCGACGGGCCCGCGACGGAGCCCGAGACGGAGCACGAGCCGGTGCGCGACGTCGGGTCGGAGAGGCCCCAAGGCAGCCAGGTGAGCGCGGAGAGGGGCGGCGCGTGGGGAGTGCCCAGCGCATCTGGGCAGAAGCGGTCGCTGGCAACTGGGAGTTTTTTAAGGTCCGCGCCTCGTGGGGGGGACCCCCAGATCAATCCCTTCCTGAGGACACCCCCCCAGGGGAGAGACTCTCAGGTTTCGGAGGGCGGGGGTCCCAATCGAACAATCTGTTCGTTCAGCCAACAGAACCAAGGGCTCCGAGATAGCATCCATCAGAACAAAACTAGCAGGAGCCATAGCACGGAGGGGAGGGCGTTCGTCTTGCACGCGGCCGACCGGGGTTCCATCCCTGGCATCGCATGTGGTCTCCCAGCACCGCCAGGAGTGACTCCTGAGCGCAGAGCCAGGGCTCAGTAAGAGCTCAGAGGAGGTCCCGGGTCCAAGGTGGCATGCACAAAGGCGCGAGGGCTTCGTGAAGTTTCCCTGAAGGAGATACTGAGCCCTGAGAATAGAGGGGTGTGGCGGAATGGCTGTGGGCGGTGCAGGAGGCACAGGAAAGCGTCCTCGTGGAGCAAAGAAAATCTGGGGCTCAGGAAACTGGAAGGAACTAGAACTGGTAGCTTTCTCCTGAGGTGATGCAGAAGGAGCACTCGTCCCCACATGCATTGTCTAGTGACAACCCCCAGACCCTCTGAGTCAGAATTAAATTCTCAGCTTTCCCCGCAGGTGACTAAGAGGGTAGCTGAACCCCGTGAGGTCCGGAGCCCCAAGCCCTGAGCAGAGGACAGCCATGAACCGCGGAGGGGCAGAGCCGGACTGGCTACTGAGTTTCCTGCTGTCTTTCTTTTCTCTCCCCCATGGGCCAGCGTGCTCTTGCTTTTTTTTTTTTTGTTCCAAACTTCTGGCTCTGTGCCTGTCTGGGGGGTCAGCTCGCTGGCCCTTTGGGGCCGTGACCTGTCTCTCCCAGGTTCCCTGTGGGTGAGATGGCTTCCCAGACACCTCCAGACAGTCGCAGATGCTGGGAACTGGAATCTCAGTCCTGGGGCGGCCCACGGCCCATTCTGGTCTGGATATGGAAACCCGGGCCAGACTCTCTAGAAGGGTGGGTGCTTGGGAGAAGGTCCGAGCAGAGCTAGTGGTCAGAGGCCCACCTTGGGGCGCAGGAGGGGGTAAGGGAGCCAGGGACCCAGCCTTGAGCTCCCATCACTGCGAGCCTGCGGTGACACTAGCCTATGACTCCCCCAGCCCTGATGTCTCTCCAGGGAACAGGGACCCTTGGTGGCTGCAGGTGGTGAAGATGGACAAGCGAAGGAGGGAGGAGGAGCGGGGACATGGGGGCCTAGAGGGCTGCGTAACGGACCCCACAGCGCTGCCGTCAGACCCTGCGCCCCACGGAGGCCAGAGGGCGGGGGATCAGCCAGCGGGTCAGCCTGTGTCTCGGTGCCCACAGGAGCTGGAGCTGGACGCCCTGCTGAAGAGCAGAGCAGAGGAGCCAGACGGCGGCTGGGAGGTGAGCGGGCTTGGGGCCGGGGCCCGCCGGGGCAGCACAGGCCGCCTGGAGAGAAGCCGGTTGCCATGGGAGGACACTGTGGCCACTGAGGAGGACACCTCCAAGCTGACCGCCCTGCGGCTGCGGCTAGATGAGTCCCAGAAGGTGCTGCTGAAGGAGCGCGAGTGAGTCCTAGTGGGCGGCGGGGAGCAGGGTCAGGGGCTGTGGTGGGGCGGGGTACCCTTGAATCACAGGTGAAAGTGGGTTCCCAGGGGCCCAAGCCAGGTCCTATGGGGGGGGGGGGCGTGTTGGCCTTGCGTGTGGCCAGCCTGGATTGGATCCCGGCATCCCATTTGGTCCCACAAGCACCGCCAGGAGTAATTCCTGAGTGCAGAGAGCCCTGAGCACCTCTTAAGTGATTAAGTGATTAAGTGATAAGAGAGCCCTGAGCACCTCTAGGTATGACTCAAAAAAGTCACTGTCTCTGTCCTTCCATTGTTCATGGATTTGCTCGAGCGGGCCCAGTAACGTCTCCATTGTGACCTATTACTGTGTTTGGCATATCAAATATGTCACGGGGAGCTTGCCAGGCTTTGCCATGTGTGTGAGATACTCTCGGTAGCTTGCCGGGCTCTCCCAGACCCCAAAAAAGTGAAAAAATAAAAATAAAGGACAATGGGTTTCCTGGGAGGTAGGCTCACTGAGCTGTTTGGGTCACAGCCTTGGACCCTTTGCGGCGCACACAACCCCAGGGCCCTCCCTGCAAGCTTTTCCTTTTTTTGTAGTGTGGAGGGAGCACATCCTGCCATGCTCAGGGGTGACACCTGGCTCTGCACTCAGGAAATGTGCCTGGTGGTGCTCAGGGCACCATATGGGATGCCAGGGATCGAACCCAGTTGGCCATGTGCAACACAAGTGTCTTACCGGCTCCAGCTCCGACTGCTTCTTCTTTTTAAGAAAAAAAATTTAGACTCTGGGTGTTGAGGCATCTGCTCGGGGCTGGGCTCTGTGCCAGCCATGAGGAGATAACCATAAATAAGACCAAATATGGCCCGAGTGGTCAAGCCCGGCCTGGCACGCACAAGCCTTGGTTCCATTCCTGGCATCACGTGGTCCCCAAGCACTGCCTGGTACCCTGGTGGCTCCCAGCAGCACCCTGGTAGCTGCCAGGCTGAGCACACCGGGTGTGCCCCCTCCCTCCCCGACACACACACACACACACACACACACAGTAATAAAACAAACAAGTCCCTGCCTTTGCAGGCTTTAGTCTCGCGGGGAGAGGGGACCGTGGGCTAAGAGGAGAGGCTAGAGGGGGGACACAGCAGGGCAGCTGGGCCATGAATGAGGGACCTAGCGAGATGGGGTGGGCTGGAGATAGAAATATGATACTGAGGACAGTGTGTGAGACCCCCAGGCCAGGCAGGCCGGGAGAGTGGCCAGGGAGGAACGTGGGACACGGAGCCCCTGGGAAGCAGCCAAGGACACAACCCTGAGACCGCTCTGCCAGCTGGCCGAGCGTGAGCAGGACAGAGCTGTGTCTGTGGGTGAGACAGGTGGTCACTGTCACCTTGGCCAGGGCACGGCCTCCCTCTCAGAACTATTTGCAGTGCCCTTTTTTTTCTGCCACACCCAGCAGTGCTCAGGGCTCACTCTGAGCTCTGTACTCAAGGATCATTCCTGGTTGGTGCTCAGGGCACCAGGTGGGGTGCCGGGGACCAAACCCGGGCCAGCTGTACTCAAGGCAAGTGCCTGACCTGCCGTGCTCTGGCTCGGCCTCTGCAGTGCCCTCTTTCTATCCAGAGAGCAATTTCCCAGGTGCCGTCAATGGTCCCTGTGCACCGCTTTCTTGGCTTTGTTTGGGGTTCACACCCAGTGGTGCTCAGGGCTTGCTCCTTGCTGGCTCAGGGGACCATGTCGGGTACCAGGGATTGAACCTGGGCCAGCTGCATTCAAGTCTCTTTTTAGAAACTTGCTTTGTGAAGGTCGGCTGGAGCAATAGCACAGCGGAAGGGCATTTGCCTTGCATGCAGCCAACATGGCCAAACCGAGTTCGATTCCTCCGCCCTCTCCGAGAGCCCGGCAGTATCCGAGAGTATCTCGCCCGCACGGCAAAGCCTGGCAAGCTATCCATGATGTATTCGATATGCCAAACACAGTAACAACACGATGGAGACGTTACTGGGCCCGCTCAAGCAAATCGGTGAATAATGGGAGGACCGTGACCGTGACCGCTATGTGAAGGTGAAGGCAGGATCAGGGCGGTGCTTCTGTCAGCCACAGAGCCCCCATGAGTGCCAGCAGACACTCCCACCCCAGGAGCTGGGGGCCAGCGTGGAACAGATTCCACCTCAGCCCTAACCCTGCCAGTCCTTGGGCTTCAGGTAACTTCCAGCCACAGGCCCTACCTGAGGCAGACAGAAAGGAAAGGAAGGGGATCAATGATGAAGCAGAAATCATCCCTTTTTGCTTTATCCTTTTTTTCTTTTTTCTTTGTGTTTGGTTTAGCCCAGCCGGTAGCTCACCTGGCGCTGCCATTGGGGTGCTGAGTGCTGAGTGCGCGCAGTGCTGCTCTGAGTCGGCTGGATAGAGCGTGTGGGAACCAGGACAGAGCTTGCAGCGTGGCTCGCCTGTCCCCACTGACAACGGAGTGCCTCCAGCACTTAGTCTCCTCTTGGTCGAACTTTATTTACAATTTGTGATTTTTTTCATTTCCTCAATGGACTGGAGCGATAGCACAGTGGGTAGGGCGTTTGCCTTGCACATGGCCAACCCAGTCGGCCCAGGTTCGATTCCTCCGCCCCTCTTGGAGAGCCCGGCAAGCTACCTAGAGTATCTCGCCCTCACGGCAAAGCCTGGCAAGCTCCCTGTGACGTATTCGATATGCCAAGCACAGTAACAACGAGTCTCACGATGGAGACGTTACTGGGCCCGCTCGAGCAAATCGATGGTCAACGGGAGGACAGTGCTACAGTGCTTGGTTTAGCACACCCGGCAGTGCTAGGGGTCACTCCTGCCTTGGTGCCCGGGGGTGAGGGGGGATCACTGCTGTGCCAGGCCCGGAGCCCAGGCCTCCTGCATGCTCAGCACAAGCTCATCACCCAGACCCCAGAAATGACCCCAGAAATGTCATGCGTGTGACACGGATGTGCTGGACCCACCCATCTCCACACCTTGTAGGGATCAGAGTTGTCGGAGGAATAACAGCGGCCTTGGTGCATGCTGGCAACACTGAGCTGCAGGGGCTCAGGCCAGGCGTCGTGCTGAAGCTCAGTGTGTGCTTTAGCTTTGTGTGTGCTTTAGTTCTGTGTGTGCTGAAGCTCTGTGTGTGTGTTTGTTCCGCTCAGTCCCTCCCAGGATGGCTGCAGAGGCAGAGGCAGATGGGCGGGGCTGGCAGTGTACAGGAGCTGGGCGGCCTGGGACCAGGTTTCCCGAGCCCTGGGCAACCTTAGACCATGCTGGGAAGAGGCCAGGGGTGGACTTCCCTCCTCGGCCAGCGCAAGGCTCGCTCGGATTCTGGAAAATGCCCCCTATAGCACAGAGGGTCCTTGGCATGGAGGGGCTCGGAGTAGGGAGGGCTCCAGTTTCAAAATCAGCGATGTCCTGGGTGGGGAATGCGGGGGCACAAGTCCTGGACATGTCAGCCAAGTTGGTACCCCCGCGGCCCCTCAGTCACTCCCTGTGAAAGTGATGACCAGAAACACCCCAGGTTCCTAACAGGCCCCAAGAGGAGGTTTGGGCTCCTCTGAGAACCCCCATGAAAGCGTGAGCTGCTGCCTGGGGACTTAAGTCAGTGGGTAGGCAAATTATCTGAAATTTTGGAGTTCTAGGAGCACGTGGCCGCTCTTGTGGCCAGGCGACATCTTATGCTATTCATGACAAGCAATATGAAAGGAAGTGTGGGGGAGATTGTCCGCCATAGAGACAGGGCAAGGGGTGGGATTGGGGTGGGGGGATACTGAGGTTCTTGGTAGTGGAGGATGTGCACTGGTTGAGGGTTGGGTGATTGATCATTGTATGACTGAAACTCAAACAGGAAAGCTTGGTAACTGTATCTCACGGTGATTAAAATATTAATAATAATAAAATAATATTTACATTTTGAATTAGAAAAAAGTAATGTGGAGTTCATGCCCAACTCAATCAGCTTTATCAATGGCTAATAAATAGCAGTACTCCTACATTAAAAAGAGAGAGAGAGAGAGAGAGAGAGAGAGAGAGAGAGTAGGTAGGGCGCTGCCTTGAATGCAGCCAACACAGGTCTAATCCCAGATCCCCTGATCCTGCCATGAGTGAGCACAGACCCAGGAGCACCATCAGTGCGTGCTCCCCACTCCGGGAAAAAAGAAAAGAACAAGAAATGCTGGACTCTCTGAGGGGGGTAGCACTGTAGGCTGTGAGGGGACGAGCCCCCCCATGCAAGGCTGGGACACAGACTCGTATTTGTGGCTCAGGGCAGAAGATGGGGAACCCCCCCAGTGAAGAGGGCAAGAGCTGACCCCTGTCCAAGAATCCTTAGAGAAAACATTCCAACTTTTAAAAAAATATTTTATTAGTGAAACACCATGAGATACAGTTGTAGACTTACAATTTTTTGTGCTTGGGTTTCAGTTATACAATGATTGAGTACCCATCCCTCCACCAGTGCCCATTCTCTACCACCACTGATCCCAGTATCCCTCCCATCCCCCCAACCCCCCACCCTACCACCCCACCCTGCCTCTGTGGCAGGACATTCCCCTTTGTTCTCTTTCTCCTTTTGGGTGCTGTGTTTTGCAAAAGAGGCATTGAGTGGCAATCGTGTTCGGTCTATAGTCTACTTTCAGCATGCATCTCCCATCCTGGGAGGATCCTCCCAACACCCTTTATTTGGTGCTCCCTTCTCTATCTGAGCTGCCTTTTCCCCTAGCATGTGCGGCTGGCCCCCAAACCATGGAGTGAACCTCCTGGTACTTATCTCGGCTATTCTTGGGTGTTAGTCTCCTATTTTGTTACTTTTGAAAACATTCCAACTTTGAACCCCAAGTTCAAACCAAGCCTCACAGACATCCCTTGGTGACGAACTCAGGACCAGGCAAAGCAGACACGTTCTTAGGGAAGCCCAGTGCCCTGGGCACCTGGTTAGCCCCCTAACTGTGAGTTGGGGGGGGGAAAGGGGGCCTACTTCTGGGAGAAACGCAGATGGGGTGCTTGACCCCGGGCTTTGAATGCTGAAGCAAACACCGTGGGCCAGACGGGGTCAGACTGCGCCAAAGTCCTGTGAGCGGGTGGCAGGGGGCTCGCCCCAAGTGTGTCCCTGTGTCCTCCCCAGGGATAAGCTGGCCCTGAGCAGGAGCATCGAGAAGCTGGAGGGGGAGCTCAGTCAGTGGAAGATCAAGTACGAGGAGCTGAGTAAGGCCAAGCAGGAGATGCTCAAGCAGGTGAGTTTGACACATGGCCTGATGCCAGCCATCGAGCCCCTACGCCTGCCGCCACTGTCAGACATGGGCCTGCCGCAGGGACCGGCCAGCACAGAGCATGAGGACCAACAAGAGGCAACAAGAGGGTCTGCCAGAGCAAGAGGCAGGGTCCCCCGCATCACCGAGACAGCTCTGGGGGTGAGGCACGGGCCTGGCCTGTGCAAGGGCCCAGTCTCACCCCTGACACTACCCAGCCCCTGCTCCTCCAGATGCCCTGGAGGTCCCCGGCATCGTCAGGCTCAAGCACTGGGCAGCCTGAAATGTTCCCGCAGCTCTGCCAATAGTGGTACACGGGGCCCCCGAGCTCAGTATGGCTGGGGAGACACCGCTAGGGAAGTGATGTAGGAGGCAACCCTGAAAGCACAGGGAGGAGAGCCAGAGAGATGGTGCAGGGGAGAGGCACTGCGAGCAGAGAGATGGTATCATGGAGAGGCACTGGGGAGCTGAGAGGTGGTGCAGGGGAGAGGCACTGGAATCTGAGAGATGGTACAGGGAAGAGGCAGTGGGGAGCAGAGATGGTGCAGAGGAGAGGCACTGGCCTTGTGTGTGGCTGACATGGGCTAAATCCAACACCCCATATGGTCCCCCGAGCTCCACCAGGAGTGACCTCTGAGCACAGAGCCAGGAGTAAGCCCTGAGCACTGCCAAGTGTGGCCCTACACCCCACCAAAATGGGTAGAAACCCCCTCGAGAGCTTTTGAGACAATGTGGGGCAGATTTCCTGCAGAAGGCACAGCAAGTGCAGGGCTCCTGGGGCTGGAGTAAGCAGAGAGAGAGAGAAAGAGAGAGACAGAGAAGGAGGAGGGAAAGGGGGAGTGAGAAAGGGAAAGGGAGGGAGGGAAGGAGGGAAGGGGTAGAGAGAGAGGGGAAAGGGGAAGGAGAGAGGGGAGGGTATTGAGAGAGCCGGGCTGGAAGGCGGAAATAGCCAGAGGAGCCAAGTCTCTGTAGATCAGGACCGAGGAGAGGATCCTAGAAGGAGCGTTCACTGGGCTTCTGCAGTGTGCCAGCTCTCAGGGAATCTCTTGGCAATTAAGGAGGCTGGTTGTGTTCCAGATTCCACCTCTGCAGAGTGGAGACTAGGGGCGAGTGGGGGTTCACGCCACCTGTGCAGTTCTTCCTGGCCACCAGGGGGCGCTGCCCCTCCAGAGAAAGGCGGGCCGGACCTGCTGTTTTCCAGGTGGCCGAGGGGATCTCTAACCTGTCTGCTCTGTGCCCTGGGAGAGACAGACACTTACTGGAGAATTCTTAGCTTCCCACACCCCGCTTTTCCCCCCAGAAGAATCTGCATTATTTCATTGGTTTTTTTTGGGGGATTGAACCAAGACCTCTGCCTGCAGAGCCCATGCCCCTGCCTTTAAACCGTCTCTCTGATCCCAATCTGCATTATTTTATGCTTTGTTGCATTCTGTTTGAGGCAACATTCAGCTGTGCTTAGGGCTCGCTCCTGGCTCTGCGCTCAGCGACCGCTCCTGGTGGGGCTCTCCCTATGGGATGCCAGAGATCGAACATGGGTGAGCCACACGCAAGACCTGCACCCTGCCAGCTGTTCTGTCACTTCTGCCCCGACTTTGTTATTTTTAAAGCACCCCAGGGCTGGAGAGATAGTACAGTGGGTAGGCCGCTGGCCTTGCACACAGCCGATCCAGATTCAATCCCCAGCACCACGCATGGTTCACCAGACACCCCCATGAATGATCCCTTAGTACAGACGCAGGAGTAAACCCTGAGAACAGCTGGGGGGGACTCAAAAATCTTTTTTTAAGTAATGAAAAATGAGGGGGCTGGAACGATAGTACAGCGGGTAGGGCATTTGCCTTGCACGCTGCCGACCCAGGTTTGATTCCCAGCATCCCATATGGTCCCCCGAGCACTGCCAGGGGTAATCCCTGAGTGCAGAGCCAGGAGTAGCCCCTGTGCATTGCCGGGTGTGACCCAAAAAAAAAAGCGAAAAAAAAAAAGAAGAAGAAAAATGATTCTGATGTGACTGCAGGCCCTTGTTGAGATCCGCTGAGGGCTGGCCGGTGCCCAGACCAGAGACACATGTTACCAGGTGCTGCATGATGAGGAGCAGGGGAGGGTGGGCGAGTCTCCCACAACTGAGTCTCCTCGGATCTGCGTCCTGCAGAACGTGGCAGGAAGAGGAGGCAGAGCGATAGTACGGCGGGGAGGGCATTTGCCTTGCGTTCAGCTGACCCGGGTTCTATGCCCAGTATCCCGTGGGGTCCCAGGAGTGACCTTGAGTGCAGAGCCAGGATAAGCCCTGAGCATCATAGAGTGTGACTCACCCCCCCAAAAAAAAACCACAGGTAGACCCCGTCAGCCCTACCAGGGACAAGAATGGGTGTGTTCCCAGTATAAGGCCGGGCTGTGCTCTGGACCAGGTGTAGTGAACTGAAGAAAGAGGGGCAGACTGAACCAGGGGCGCCTACTTAAGTAGGGGTGGGTAGGTCCATCACTGTTCTGTAAAAGCTCGAGGGCCAGGCTGTGGGAGCTGTAGGGACGTCACTGAGAGGCAGGAGGCTCACTGAAGGGTCTTTGCTGCATGTCCAGCATAGCCCGACAGGCCCCTTGCAGAACCCCCAACACACCCCAGAGCTGGTGCCCGGCTGGGTCCCTCCCGCCAGCCCCATCACTGGCCGTTTCTGTCCCACAGCTGAGCATCCTGAAGGAGGCCCACCAGGACGAGCTGGGCCGCATGTCTGAGGACCTGGAGGACGAGCTGGGAGCCCGGTCCAGCATGGACAGGAAGATGGCCGAGCTGAGGGGTGAGGTGAGGCCCCTGCCCGACGCCTGGGCGCCCCCAGGTGCCCCCGGCCGGGGTCCCCGCCCAGAGGCCAGAAGGGCCTCGCATCCTGCAGCCCAGGGCGGGGCAGGCGCTGCTGGAGGACAGTGGCCTGCCGGCGCAGGGGTGAGGGCGGAGGCGCGATGGCCAGGCCCTCACCCCATCCACGCTCGCAGATGGAGCGGCTGCAGGCGGAGAACGCGGCCGAGTGGGGTCGCCGCGAGCGGCTGGAAACCGAGAAGCTGGGCCTGGAGCGGGAGACCAAGAAGCTGCGGGCGCAGGTTGGGGATCTGGAGGAGGCGCTGGCCCGCCGGCGGCGGCAGGCCACCAGCGCCCTAGACTGTGACCTGCGCGCCAGCCAGGCCGCACTCTTCGAGAAGAACAAGGTGGGTGCAGGGACCGCGGTGGGCGGGGCGCGGGTCTCTGTGGGCGGGGTGAAGGGACCACAGTGGGCGGGGCGCAGGCCTCTGTGGGCGGGGCGAGGAGGCTGCAGTGGGCGGGGCGCAGACTTGACATCCAGGGGTCCCCCGGCTCCATCCCTGGCACCTCATGGTCTCCCACATACCACCCCAGGAACAGAACCCGGAGGAGCCTCGAGCAGTTGACACCACACACACACACACACACACACACACACACACACACACACACAGCAGAGCCTAGCACATCTCCAGGCTTCCAGCCTGCACTGCCTGGGGTCTCCCTCCACAGCCTCAGTGCCTCTCAGACAGTCGGTGGGAGATGCTGGGGCAGGCATGCCACACCAGCACCCTGGACCCTCCCCACGTGTGTCCGCTGACTCTCAACACCACCCCAGGAGCTGGCAGACCTGAAGCACGTGCACGGCAAGCTGAAGAAGCAGCTGCAGGAAAAGGTGGCTGAGCTGGCACATGCCAACCGGCGGGTGGAGCAGCACGAGGCCGAGGTGAAGAAGCTGCGGCTCCGGGTGGAGGAGCTCAAGAAGGAGCTGGCCCAGGCTGAAGACGAGGTGAGGGCCTCTAGGACTGGGGGGTACTCTGGGTGCTGGACCGGGAGCTGGAAGTGTTGGGAGGAAGGAGGTGGGTTTGGAAGGGAGGGGAGCAGGGGTAAAAGGGGGAGCATTGGAGGGAGCAGTGGTGGAGGGAGCAGGGGTGGAGGGGGCAGGAGTAAAGGGACCAGGATTGGGGGAGGCAGGGGTGCGGGAAGCAGGGTGAAGGGGGGAGGATTGGAGGGAGCAGGGGTGAAGGGAGCAGGGGTGGAGGGAGCAGGGGGAAGGGGATTGGAGGGAGCAGGGGTGGAGGGGGCAGGAGTAAAGGGAACAGGATTGGGGGGGACGGGTGCAGGAAGCAGGGTAGAGGACGCAGGGGTGGAGGGAGAGGAGCAGGGCTGGAGGAGCAGGGGTGAAGGGGGAGGGTTGGAGGGAGCAGGGGTGGGGGAAGCAGGGGTAGGGGAGCAGAGATGGAGGGAGCAGGGATGGATGGAGAGGAGCGGGACTGGGGGAGCAGGGCCGGGGTTCTTCACGGCCTAGCTCACGGGAGACAGTTCTGCAGACGGGACCCCCAGGGAGAGATGACAGGAGTTGCGGGGCCCCCAGCTGGTGGCCCCAGGTGACCCCAGGCTCTTGGCTCTGCTCACGTGCAGCTGGACGAGGCCCACAACCAGGCACGCAAGCTGCAGCGGTCGCTGGACGAGCAGACGGAGCACGGCGAGAACCTGCAGGTGCAGCTGGAGCATCTGCAGTCCAGGTGCCCGCCGGGGAGGGGGCAGGGAGGACCAGGACAGACAGCCCCCCAAGGCCCAGAGTCCTGCTCCCGGGGAGCACAGAGGAGGAAGCGTCTGGGGCAGCCTCCTTCCCTCCCTCCAGACAGGAAAGGCCACAGGGGGGGGCCCAGAAGCCAGGGATGGGAGCACAGGAAGCAAGGCCGGCTGGACCCCTGGGGGACGGGAAGGACACTGGAAAGGCAGACGTGGGCGGCAGGCAGCGTGTGGGGCCAAGGCTCTGGGGTGTCACTGATAAGCCTGTGGCCCTTAGGGGCCCCCAAGCTGGTTAACCCCAGGCCAGTTGGGACCAGGGCAAGCCTGACCGTGGGTGGCAGACGGACCATGGCAGCCTCCTTGGGGGCCTCGGAGGACGCACCGGACCCTCCTCCCCAGCCAGCACCTGTGAATCACACCTCTCCCTGCAGAGGCAGGCCGGGCACCCGTCCCTACCACCCCATCAGGGCCAGCCGCGTCACCACAGCTCCTGCGGGTGCTTCCAGAGCCAGAGCCCGGGCAGGCCCTCACCCGCCTTCACCTGTTTGACAGCCCTGGCTCTGCCACTGGCTGCCTGGGTGGCAGGGATCTCGGCGTGCTGTGAGGTCCTGGGCCACTGACTTAACCTCTCTGTGTCAGGGTTGTTGTTGTTTTTTTTCCCCTTCCTCGTCTGTAAAATGGGTATGATAGCAGCGCTTCCTTCCCCCTTGGCTGCAAAGAGCTTAAAGACGCTCGTAAAAGGGCCGGGCTGGTCCTGAGTGCTGAGCCAGCTCCTGACTCAGCCTGGGCTGCCTGCGCTCCCGGGGGCGGCTGTTTGGGTCAGAGACAGGAGGGAAGGGAAGGGCTTTTCTCTCGGGGCACCAGGCACTCGACCTCACTCTGCACCGTGCTGAGGATCAATCTGTGGCCCAGCCTTCTTGAGAGGCTTAAACCAGCCTCAGTTTCTCCACCTGCCTGTCATGCAGGGGTCCGGGGAAGGCTCCCAAGTCAGTCAGGCTGGAGCAGTAGCACAGTGGGTAGGGCGTTTGCCTTGAACGTGGCCGACCCGGGTTCGATTCCCAGCATCCCATAGGGTCCCCTGAGTACCGCCAGGAGTAATTCTTGAGTGCAGAGCCAGGAGGACCCCCTGTGCATTGCCGGGTGTGACCCAAAAAAAGCAAAAAAAAAAAAAAAAAAACCAAGTCAGGCTCACTGTCTGGCCAGCGCTGCCCACTCCAGGGCCACCCACTCCCACCCCCAGGACCCCCGCTCCCGCTCCTCCTGAGACCACTGAGGACCTTCTTCTTCCACACGGCGGCCGGCGGGCTCTGTTTGGCCTCCAGGGCCTCCATGGGGTGGGCGGAGTCTCCAGGGCCGAGGACTCCTTTGATTTCCCAACTTTTGTGCTTTAATGTTCGGGGACAGGGCACTAAATCACGGCGCGGTAATGGAGGCGCGGCGGCGGCCCCCCACCCCGTGTTAATAATTCATGCCTTCCAGTAAGAGGCGGCCGGGGCCTGCTGCGGGGGGGAGGGGCAGCCTGTTTGCCTCATAAATTTTGGCTTGAGGGACGTCCACGGTCGGAAGGATTGGGGGCTTTCTCCCGGACACGGTGCTGGAGGAGCCTCGGCCCCCTCCCCTCGGTGTTCCCGGGTCCAGGATCTTCGGAGCCCAGCGACAGAGGGGCCTGGGACTAGAAAATTCGTTGACTTCAGCCCGGGATGCTCCTGGCCAGGCCATCTGCAGGGCAGTGGGGGCACCCCGTCTCCTCCCTCTGCTCCGGATGAGCAACAGTACCCTGGAAACGGCGCTTCCCTTGCCTGCAGCCGACCCCGGTTCGGTCCCCCAGCATCCCAGAGGGTCCCCTGAGCCCCACCCTGAGCGCAGGAGTGAGCCTTGGGCACAGCTGGGTCTGGCCCCAAAACCAAACAAAAAATGAGATGAGGTCATGGGGAGCAGGGCCCCACTGTGCCAGGCGGCCAGAGGCGCAGGGGTGACCCCCTGACCCTCCCCCGTCACTCCCCACCCCAGGCTCCGCCGGCAGCAGCAGAATGCCCCGCTCTTTGGGAAGATCCGCGGCGCGCGCTTTGGCAGCGAGGAGGCCGCAGACGGAGCCAGCGACCTGGACGAGGATGAGGACCTGCAGCTCCAGGTGGCCTGAGCACCCCCTTCACCGACCCCCGTCCCGTACCCCTTCCTCCCAGGGGGCTGTCCAGGACGGAGCTGTGACCCCCCCGCCGGGTCCCACATGATTTCTCTCCACCAAAGCATGGAAGCTGGGCAGGGTCCGTCAGTGCCCGTCATAGGTGGGAGGGCCCAGTCCCGACGCTCGATTCGGGGTCACAAACACAGGCTCTCACGCCTGGCCTCAGCGTCCCCCACTACCCAGCCCCTTTCTGTCTGGGGAGAGAAGCGGGTGTCAAGACCCCACCCTGGGCTGTGGGATTGGGCGGGGCCCCTCCTTGTACAGTGTGATCAACACAGCCTGCAATAAAAGGACTTGAGGCCAAGGGCTGCATGCGTGAGGCTGGGGGTGTGTGGGAGAGCACTGGGCCAGACCTCGGGAAATGCATGCATGAGAACGTCACTGGGTGAAGGGCCTTCTGAGATGCTGAATGGCCCCAAGCTAACCTCTGGGAAGGGAATGAGCCCAGCCTGGTCCCGGGGCCTGGTGCAGTTTCCTCAAAGGAATAGTTCTCAGTTCTGTCGTCAGATGGAACCAGGTCTCTGCTCGACCCATTACTGGTGGTCTTCGAGCCTCTGTTTCTCCATCTCAAAGCTAGAGCCTCGCTATAAAGGAATTCATCCGGAGCTCAGCAAAGATTAGCTGGTACTGAAGTGGTCGCCGCTGAGCCCAGGAGTACTGGCCAGCCAGGCTCGGCTGTAAGGAATAATAAAGTCCCACAGGTGGGGGCCAGAGAGATAGTACAGTGGGCAGGGCACTTGCCTTGCACAGGGCTAACTTGGTTCGCTTCCTGGCACTGCGTATGTTCCCCCCAAGCCCACTCAGGGAGTTAGCCCTGAGCACAGAGTCAGGAGTATGTACTGAGCTTTGCCGGGTGTGACCCCAAAACCAAAAATAGTAATAATAATAAAAACTTCTAAAAAATAAAGTCCCAGGGGCTGGAGTGATAGCACAGCGGATAGGGCATTTGCGTTGCACATGGCCTACCTGGGTTCAATTCCCAGCATCACATATGGTCCCCGAGCACCTCCAGGAGTGATTCCTGAGTGCAGACCCCAGAGGAACCCCTGGGGTTCCTTTTTGGGTGTGACCCAAAAAACCAAAAATGAATAGATAAATAAGGGGCTGGAGCAATAGCACAACGGCTAGGGCATTTGCCTTGCATGCAGCCAACCCGGGTTCAGATCCCAGCATCCCATATGGTCCCCTGAACACTGCCAGGAGTCATTGCTGAGTGCAGAACTAGGAGTAATCTCTGTGCATCACCGGGTGTGACCCAAAAAGCAAAATAAGTAAATAAAATCCCACAGCTGGTCGTTCATGCAGCCGCGGGTGTGAATCTTTTTACCTGTCACCCAGACCTGTGTAGGGAAATTACAGGTCATTTTTTTAAAAATATTTCATTTCTAAGCCTTCTATGGCCAGCATCTTGATATTAGATCTGGTGGAAGTAGTTATTAAAACACAGAAGCCCGAGCTCAGGCAGCGAGGCCCCCTGAGCACCGCGGGGAGCCCCGGGTGACCCCTGAGTGTCACTGAGCCCACGCAGAGGGCCATCAAACCCGCACCGCCGGGAGTGACCCCAGCTGCCCCCTCCAGCACAGCCCGAGACGTGCCGTCCCTGCAAACACATGCACCGTCATGTGCATTTCAGCTTTGGGGCTATGACGGGCAGTGCTCAAGGATGACTGCTGCTCCCTGGTGAGAGGAGGTCGCTCCGAGCCATGTGGCAGGGGCACATGGTGCCAGGGAGGGAGCCCAGGCCTCCTGGGGCTGCACTTCTCCCCCTGCCCTGCAGACACTCTCCAATCCGAGGGAGGACTGCAGCTGCCTGCTTGCTGAAGGAAGGGGCATTGGCAGAAGCGTTCCAGCGTGTGACAGGTAGTGAGCTCCCCGTGTCAGAGGCATGCAAGGAGAAGCAGGCATCAAGAGAGTCTTCGGAGGGGAGAGGCATGTAAAGGCATTCCTTTCTCTTTTTTTTTTTTCCTTCAGATTTTGGGCCCTATATGGTTGTACTCAGGTGTTGCTCCCTGTAGTGCTTAGGGAACCACAGTGTCAGAGATGGAACCCAGACCTCCTGCATGTAAAACACGCACTCAGCCCTCTGAGCTGTCTCTCTGACTCGGGAGCCACTTGTAGTCCTGTTACGAGGGACCCCCAAGGGGCCAGAGCGATAGCATGGCAGGTAGGGCACTTGCATGCAGCAGATCTAGGTTTGGGTCCCCGATATCCCCTATGGTCCCCTGAGTGCCCCGAGCAGCATCAGGTGTGGCTCAAAACACACATACACACGCACGCACCAGTGCCGGCACAAAAAGGGCTTTGGGAACCCTTTTCTACCCAAGTTCTTTCTGTTTTTCCCTCCCAAGCAGGAAGCTGGGCAACCAAGCTGCCCTTTGACCCCGGGAGCCCGGAGCCAGGCCCTCCCTGACAGCGGCAGTCCCAGGCCCTCAGGGCTGACCTGCCGCAGCAGACACAGAACAGACCCTCCACCACTGCAGGCTCCCCCAGACTCCCTGGCACCTCCAGCGAGATAGTGCAGGGGAGGGGGCAGCGCGGGGCCGACGGGGCGGGCGGGGCCCTCCCAAGAATGTCAGCCAGAGCCGGCTCCCCTATCCTGGGCAGGAGGCGCAGCTCCCTGCAGAGCACACGCAGGTACTGGGGGCTGCTGGCCGGCCCTGCCCTCCCGCCAGCCCTTCCTTCCCCCACTCCCCCACTCCCCGATGCCTACAGCAAAAGACACCCGCCCTGCCGGCAGCCGCTCTGGCTCCCCCTAATCTCTGATACCTGGATGGACGCTGCCCCCCTGATCCTAGGGACGGGCGTGCCCTCCCCCTGGGCTGAGGAGTAGGCCTCTGGATGCTCCCGCACTGGGCCAGCCTCCCCTCCGAGGCTGTGGGGGTTGGGGCGAAGGAGGAGGAGGAGGTGACCCTCCCAAGGCCACTCGGGTAGTGGACCCCGCTCAGGCAGCCCACTCTCCTGTGGGCGAGCTGCCCCGCAGAGCCCCACCTGGCTGCATGGTACCTTGGCCATATGGAACTGTGTACACACACACACACACACACACACACACACACACACACGCACACACATCCGCCACAGTCTTGCCTCTCCCATGAGGTTTGTGTTTAGAGCACCCTCCCCTCTCAGCTCTCATTCCCCTCCCCCTCCCCCTTCCTTTTCTCTTTTTCTTTGGGGTGTGTGTGGGGGAGGCTGGAGTGATAGCACAGCGGGTAGGGTGTTTGCCTTGCATGCTGCCAACCAGGGCGACCCAGGTTCAATTCCTCCAGAGAGCCCGGCAAGCTACCGACAGTGCGGTGGGGGGGTGGAGGGGAGAGGCACACCAGGCAGGGCTCAGGGGCTGCTCATATCTCAGTGCTCAGGGACTGCTCAAAGGACCATCCAACCTGGGCTTCTGCCTCCAAAGCTGGTGGGGTGTCCCCCATCCCTGTTTCTATTTTGATTTTTCTTTGACGTTTCTTGGTGCCGGGGGTTGACCCCAGGACCTCACCAGTGCTAAACCACTGAGTCAGCTTGCAGACTTCTTTTTTCTTTTTGCTTTTTATTGGTTTTGTTTTTTTGGGCTGGAGCAATAGCATAGCGGGTAGGGCGTTTGCTTTGCTCATAACCGACACGGCCAACCCGAGTTCGATTCCTCCGCCCCTCTTGGAGAGCCCGGCAAGCTATTGAGAGTATCTCACCTGCATGGTAAAGCCTGGCAAGCTACCCGTGACGTATTCGATATGCCAAACACAGTAACAATTTCCACAATGGAGATGTTACTGGGCCTGCCCGAGCAAATTGATGAACAACGGGAGGACAGCGACAGTGACAGTGACAGTTGCTTTTTTGGGTCACATCCGGAGATGCACAGGGGTTACTCCTGGCTCTGCACTCAGGAATTACTCCTGGCGGTGCTCGGGGGACCATATGGGATGCTGGGAATCAAACCCTGGTCGACCTCATGCAAGGCAAATGCCCTACCTGCTGTACTATCGCTCCAGCCCCAGAAATTTTTTTTTAGCTGAAAAAAAAAATGTAGGGGCTAGAGCAGTAACACACAGGTAGGGCGCTTGCCTTGCACTCAGTTGACCTGAGTTCGATTCCCAGCACCATAGAAGGTCCCCCAAGCGCTGCCAGGAGTGACCCTATTCAGAGCCAGGATCAGTCTGGAGCATAACTGGGTGTGGCCCAAAAAACAGAATTTAAAGTAATAAAAAAATGGTGGGGGTTCAGATCATACCCAGTGGTGCTCAGTGGGGTTGCCCCAGGGAGTGCTGGTTGCTATATGCAGCCCCTGCTTAAACCCCTTCTTTGAGCTCTCCCAGGCCCCCAATTTTTTTATATTTGTCTTGGGGGAGCCACACCCAACTCAGGGGACTATGGGTGCTGGAGATGAGACCCAGACCTTCCACACGGCCAACTCTGCCCTGGGAGCCGTCTCCAGGCTTCCCGTGGGCATCTTTACAGGAGGGGAAGAAGAGGGGCTGGAGCGATAGCACAGCGGGTTGGGCGTTTGCCTTGCACACAGCCAACCCGGGTTCGATCCCCAGCATCCCATATGGTCCCCCGAGCACCGCCAGGAGTAATTCCTGAGTGCATGAGCCAGGAGTAACCCCTGTGCATCGCCAGGTGTGACCCAAAAAAGCAAAAAATAAAAAAAAAAAGGAGGGAAGTGGGGGACAGGCAGAAGAGTGGGAATCAGCTTCCCTTAGCCTCAACCCCAGCCCCTGCCAGTGCCCATGGGTCCCTGGCAGGCCTCTCTCAGGCCGGAAGAATCCCCCTGAGGGACCCGAAGTCAAGGCAGCCCAGGCCAGCGGTGCCAAGGCTTCTCCTTCCAGGCTGGAGAACCGGCTGGACCAGATTGGCCCCTCCCAGCCCTTCCTCCCCACCAGGCCCCTTTGGGAACTGGAGTGTGAGCCCCCTTGCTACCCTGCAGAGGGGACCCTGCACTTACCCCACCAGGCAGCCTCTAGAGACCCCTGCCTTGAAATCCATGCCCAGGAGT